TGCTAAGCGATATACAAAATATCTACATTATGGTAGATAGATCTCCGTCTCCGGCATACATTTGACTATTTGTATCTTACACTGTATGGTACCTGAATCCAAAAATCGATTTAAATAAAGAAGCTCTTCTTGAACTTTATTAAACCATTCATAGTTCTATGAAATGGATTTTTCTAGTTTAAAGGCATTTAATAATTGTAATTGTTGCTAACACTGATATTCAAAGAGTGTGGGGTTCAGTGTCTTGCACAGTATAATGCTGACAAGTTAAATAGCAGATGAAAAGAAAATGGTGATGTAGGTTAAAGGGTAGAAATCAAAACTCCCTCTCATCATAGCCGAGTCTTTGCAACACCTTGTCCTCTTCAGAAATTAGATATTGCACCAAAATCTGTGTAATCCTTGGCTTCAAATTCAGAATCCTTGTAAAATGTCTGTTTTAATAAACACAATAGGAAATGAATATAAACTGAATGTAAATATATGGAAATAAACTGCCAAAGAGCAATATGTCAGTTCTGATATATTCCGAATACGGATTTTAAAAAAAGTGATGCATTAATGTAGAGCCCTGTGTGATGCTGAGTCTATAATTCCTGTATACACGAGTGAGATATAATGTGTTTAAGCTTATATCCCCCTGTAGAGAAACTGTAAAGAAACACCATGTACATGTACCGATTGTGTGTCGTGGCAGGGGGTTGAAATGCATGTGTGAATTGATGTGAAAAAGCTGATGGATATGTGCATGTGTTTATAGCCGTGTGTGTGTGCAATGAAAATTCATTTCACAGGTCAATGAGTCTCGGATGTACACACTGTTTGTTGACTAGACTCTATTAGATGATTTGGATGCTTCGGATTTGAATGACACTGTAATGTTTACATGTTTCTGCCAGGCAGAGCATGATTTCTATGGGAGGGATGATTCAAGTTTAAGGCATTTAATAATTTCTATTTTTCCTTTTCTCTCCTCAGTGTCGGACAGCCAAGCAGCAGGAGTAGGAGGAGGGTCAGACTCCTCCCAGACCCGTTTCTCCTCCTCCCTCCCCACTTACCTCCCTGTCCAGTGCCAGTTAAGTGGAGCCGACTCCGCTTTCTTTCTGCGGGAAGCCAATCAGGAGATCATGCGAAATGGCAGCCTATTATCGCGGACTGAGCCCTTCTTCCTCCACCAACTGGAGCCGGCCGTGGCCGCTCCACAATCCCTGCCCAGCGTCAACTGCAGCTACGGAAACCTGAGCATTGAGCAGCCAATCCCTGTAGAGCTGCTTCAGGGCCCAGCTCCACATCTGTTGCCGACAACCAACCAGGTGACTCTGAACTGGAAGGTCAAAGGTCAAGTGGTGTTCCCCAAAGTTGGCTCAACAAGGCCCTGGATACAGGTACAGGCAGTTTAATGTTAAACTTAAAATGTTTTTTTTATCTTTTTCTTTAAAAAATCCTTTTAAAAATAAATGTTAAGGATTGACTTGTTATGACAATCTCATAACCAAATCATAATTATATCCAAACCAGAGATAATTAAAGGGTTCAAACTATAAATGTATAATATGTTTGTTGATGCATTTGAATTATTATATTGTTGTTATTGCCTACTTGAAGCTTCTTCTTTGGCTTACAAAAAGTGAAGTTAATTGATGTAAAAATGCAGATCAGAGCAGCTTTAAAGAATGCACTCATTAGTGCTTATGCATAAATCTGTCGGCACAGAAAGAAAGAAGAACATTTATAAATAAGAGTAGACAATCATTTAACTCGCCATTTACAACCCATTGTTTGTATTGATAAGACGTGATTTATAATTTCAGCTGTCAATTACAGTGTAGGACAGATAATATTGTTTTTTTTGGCTAACATTTCATCTTCTAATCCACCCATTATGACATAAGCATTATCTGTAAATAAATATAGATTTGTTTTGTCCTCAGGTATTGTTTTACCTGGTAGGGCGACGTTGGGATGAGCCCGACCCCCCTCCTCCAGCCCTCCTCCCATGTGTCAGAGCCATAGCCATCCGTGACACCAGTGAAGCAGCCCCCTCGGCGGGCTGCCGACTCATGGGACCATCTGGCATCTGTGTTGTCCGTCTGGAGATTCCCCCAGCTTGGTTTACACCACCACAAGTGAGAAAAAGACCTCCTGAAGTGACTCTACCATCAGTGGATGTGTATTACTCGATAATACCAATGGAAGGGGCCGGTCAAGAGTGTCCTTCCATCGTTAATGAGCCATGGCGAGGTCAGAGCGCTAACACCGGGCCTCTTGGACTGGGCCTTGGAGGACAGTGGAGCCTCGGGGAGGATGTGAGTCTTCAGGACATGCTGAAAGCCGGCTCAGTGGCGATGACCTTTGGCATGGTTTCCGCCAAAGGAGAGAAACTGAGACTGGATGAAAACGTAGAGGTTCTGGTGCCGCCCAGCCCGGTTCGGCTCGGCAAGACCGTGGCATTTGGCGTCTACATGAAGACTGGTTCGAACACGGAACAGTTTACTTTGAGGTAGGAAAACCAATGCTTTCATATAAGTTATTTGGCTTTGCTTCTTGTATTCTTTTTATTTTGTTTTGTCAGATTTCAGTTTTCCTTTGGTAGTTTTTTCTTTCCTCCTCCTCATCTGCTCTCTCTCATGAGTTGACACTGCCGCCTCGCGAGGTTGATGGCTGTCACCTTTGTGTACTCAGCCTCTTTCAGGAGCCAGCAATGCAAATAACAACCTCATGAATATTCATGAGTGATCCAAGGAGAGAAGAAAATACAGAGAATGAGAAGCAGGAGAGGGAAAAAGAACTGAGAGGGACTGAAGTATGGGGGACAGGGAAATTAAATGAGGTGCATAACATTAAAATAGATCCTGGTTTTTCAAACTAAATGGTGGAACCCATGCCTCTAAGGTGTGCTTTAATAGGTCACCTGCATTATTGACAATGGGTTTTGTTCGCTTGTGTCCCAGGAAACAAATTCTTCTTGGTTCGCTGGCTGAAAATGAGTTTACAACCCTGGTCTAGGCGAAGTATGCATATCTGCATCCCATCTCTGCCTCATCATTTCACCGACTTTAGGGATTTCAGTCTGACAAATGATAGATTTATCATTTTTCACAATTTATTATTCTATTCAGAGAGCATCCCAGCACACAACACTGCAGCTGCATTACTATAACAATATATTCCTATGAGGTTAGAACTATTGAGAATATTATAGAGAGTAACTCTGAGAAACTTTAAATACATGTTTCAGTATTTCAGTCCCACATTTATTTAAAGAAAACCTTGAATACACTAACCATGGTAATTGACACTTGCCAACCAACTCCATGTTTCACATGAGGCCATTCAGATCATGTGTGCAAAGTCAAAGGAATCGATTTTACATAATAAAAGCTGCACATGTGTTCACCTAAAAGTATTTGGGAAGTTCTAGTGACAATAGCAATTGGCAAATATTTTCAGAGATTTTTCAAAGATTTTTTTAAGAGACTTCTTGCTGTTTAGGCAAAAGCCTTAGTATAGGTCCTACAGGTTAGTTAAAAGATGCTACAGAAAGAAAATGGAGGGAACATATCAGCAACTATTTTTTATTGGCATCATATCTTCTTTGTCTTATGCAATGTGTGTCTGCCTGTGCGACGACTTTGAAATTGTCCAATTGAAAATCTCAAACAAATCTATTCCGTTCATCTTTCTGTTTTGTTGTGTGTTTGTCTGTGTACACGGCCGTTCCACTTGCAGCTCTTGCCCCCTACCCTAGCATACAGTCCAGTGGATAATCTCCCATGTTAAAACCACAGTCAGACGTGTAATAAGGCTTAAGTGGATCTCATTCCAGTTTGTCCGTGTGTGTGTGTGCGTGTGTGTGTGTGACATAATAAGCCTTAAGCGTGCTCCATCACAGTGAGGTGATGTGATTATGATAAACTGCTGAGGATATGAAGAAACACGGGCAGAGGACAGGTGAGAGAGAGGGAGACTGTCACAAAGATAGACACTGAAAGGAAAGGAGATGAGAGGAAGGTAGTAGAAACTGCTATTAAGGAAATGGGTAAAAGTAGGGAAAAGGTAGAGGGAAGATTTCCAATTGCATCTCTTTTTCACAGCTCTTCAAAGTAGATATCAAAGGATGGAGGACTTGAGGCAACACACATTTGACAAATTGGATATGGCATTTTTGCTGTATCCCCTGACACAGTGCTTGTAGTCTAAAATAAACATATATGATACTGTCACTTGGTGGTGAGAGCACTCTTCTCCAAAACAAAAGCTAAAATGTAGGATTTGTAAGACTGACACTTCTTTAAGTACTCTTCCTGTAATTCAGTCACATTTTGAGTCACATCATCAACGTTGATCACCAATCAGATCAGATGCTATTATTTAATTATTACTAAAGACCATTTGCATTTCTCCTCAAAGTTTTCACAACAACCCTTTTTTACCCTTCAAAAATATACACTTTAATGGTTAACACAATGAGTGCATGGACATGAATAACCTGTTTATGATCAGTTGATGTAATATCTAGTATGAGTTTGCACATGTAAACACCATTTCATGTTTTTTTCAGAAATCTTGATAGGGTTTCAGAGAAACCCTAATATATGAGCTGGAGTACTCGGAAATAAACCGGTCATAGTGACCATGAGATTTAATTGTTAGCTTTTGCCATTTGAAGCAGAGACCATATTACATTTTAAAGTGGAAGCAAATGTAGAATGTAGTGATACATATATCCTCACTGTTCTGTCCTACTCTAATATGCTGTTTGTGTTTGTATACATCACAATCCCTGTACATATAGAATTATCAATACCCAAATGACTATTGTTAATTATAATGAACAAGTTGCAAATCTGTAATTATTTGCATTAACTATTAATCCTTATGATGATGATGATGATGATGATGATGATGATGATGATGATGATGATGATGATGATGATGATGATGATGATGATGATGATGATGATGATGATGATGATGATGATGATGATGATGATGATGGTGATGTGCAACAAGTAAAGGGGAAAACGTAGTAATGGGTAAGAAAAGGATTATGGAATATGAACATACAGTTATTCTCTGGCTACCTGATGCACAGTCAAGTCTGCAAACCCATTACTGTAGATGAAGTGCCAGTGTCACAGTGTGTGCATTCATGAAAATGATACGATGAACAATTAAACGTGTTTATGGATGAAAGAACACAATAGATGTATGACACACGTGCTAGATGAATGTATAATTGTTTTTTGACACTGGTACTCGAGCTTGGGTAAGAAAGCCTAGATAAGACCTAAATGGACTGGCTTACATTTTGTGACCAAGCCCAGATTCATTTTGAGGACAACAGGAGATTATGAAATGTAGAAGCCTTTTTCTTTATTAAAAACTACTTAAAAGCAGCAGCAAAGGTGTATTGTGCTTATCGTGTTATTTAAGATTTTGACTTTTTTCATTTCAAAGTAGAATTACTCGAGGTTATTTGTTCAAGTTGTTATATCATCCTTTTAGGGTTACATCTGACATTCATATTTAAGATGTATTCAATTTAGAAGTTCCTGCAATGTTTCTTCTTTGCCACACATGTCACATTTTCCATTAAGAGAAATTAAGGACACACTTATCTTTGCAACTTCCTTACTTCACCTCTCTTCCATGTTCCATTTAACTAAGTGGAGCATCCTTGAATATGACATAAAAATAAGATTACTTAGGTATATGTTTATATTCAGCCCCTTCCATAAATGTAATATACATATCTTCCTGTGTGGCGTTAGAATAAGATTATACCTAAAACATTTTATCGTCCAGTTTTGGGCTGATTCATGACTTGATTTTAAGAACAATAGCCCAAAAGAGCAAAGAGGAATTTAGAATTAAGTTTTCATGAAAAATGATGCCAAACTCTAATATCTGTACTCTAAGTGCTGCTCCATCATTTGATCTTTATTTTCTTTTTAAATCAAACCACAACATTTTTCTGCTGAATAGACAGAGCAGCACATGATGACCGTATGGTGGGCTACACAAAACCTGTCCAAAATGCACATGTTATTACATTTTAATGTTCATATGCCACCTATCAACCTCACTCTAAAGGAAACAGATGCAGCCCTAACTCCTACAACTGTAAACCATTTTACTGAAGTGCCCCAATATGAAATGTAATCCAAAAGTTTTTGGGCATTTATCCTAAATCAGTACATCAGAAATCCCAATACACAAATTAAATAGCGTCTCTTGGCTCACTAATCTGCACACCATTGCTTGTGTTGCGTTTCAGAATTCCTCTGCGAAGCAAGGAGTCAGACCAGGCAATAAAGTTATAATAAAGCTGATTTATTTCAGTTGTGATAAGGAATATAATTGCTCAGCTGAGGTCTCTGGAGATCAGTGATCCACAGACTGCGAGCAGTTTCCACTGTCTCACACTTCCTTCCAGAGCCCCGAAAACCGGCAAAACACATTTCATATACTTATTACAGTTAAAAGGTGTCATATTCTGATTGGATATGTGTATTTCTGAGTGAGGTGCTGTCGTTTGTTGATTGGAGTACAGGCGAGCCCACGCCTCTTGGCTTCATCCAGGCCCTACACTATACTGACTGTCTGTTTCTCCTGTCACGTGCTAAGCTATGATCTGCTTGGTGCCTGGCACGGTGCCCTCTCCTGAACCTCAGCAAATAACTCACAATAGTGCACAATCTAAATAAAGTAGCAGAAATGCAGTTCCTTCCTTATGTTTTGCTCACCATTAACACTGTCACGAAGCTCACTTCTCTTCATAGCTTAAGACCTTCTGGTAGCACATTATTCATAAACATTTCTTTATGAGCAAGCAATAATATTCTTCACTTGTAACCTCAAAAGGTTGAATAGAGGGCACAACTTCATTAAGAATTCATGTTCTATATAGCTCCGGTTCAATGAGCATTCAGCCGAAAGTATTTAAAACAGTGTTTCAATCTGTAGGAACTCTTACCATAAGTTGTTGGTGCTTTGGAACTATGTTTAGTTGAGTGTTTACACATTTCTCCGCAGCATGAATGTGACAGGCTGAGGGTCAAAGTGATTACAGCATCTCCCTCGTTAAAAAGCTGTCGTCTTGAACTGTGTGCTATCGTTGTTTGATTAGTTAATTAGTGTGATGATTACTGATGAGCGGATACATTCTATGTGTGTGTATGTGTGTGAGCGATATACTGCAGATAGTGACATCCATCCATCCATCTTCTCCCGCTTATCCGTGGTCGGGTCGCGGGGGTAGCAGTTCCAGCAGAGAGCCCCAAACTTTCTTTTTTTTTCTTTTGCAGATAGTGACAAATTCAGACAATGATAATTGAATGCAAAATACATCGTTTTTTTCTTGTTTATTCTTATTTTTCTCTATTTACTGTCATTCTGTTTTTAGTAGTTTAGAATTATAATTGTATAATATCCTGTCATCCCATTCTATATATCTCTCTCTATATATGTGTGTGGGTCTGTGTCTGTGTGTGTTGG